TATTCAGCCTTGGGGCAGATCTCTGGATGATATTCTTAAATTGCTTACCAACTTTAGACAAAACCGAAACAATATTCCCAAGGCTGTTCAAAATACTGAAAAGTTACTGTAATGAAGGAGGAAACATCATAGAAGAAGGTAGTGACACTGCCATTCTGTATTTCCTCCATAAAAAAACTCTCAGAAAAGTCACTGTAATTGCTAGTTGTCTCCACGAAATGGAAACAACTCCATTTCCTTCCTACAACAATTTCCAACAATTTCCTTCCTTCTAGGAAATTAACTCTGTCCCTGCCGAAACCAGGACACAGGTACAGAAATCTAAATATTGGAAGGGTTCGATATACAAACAACAGCTAGCAATCATGAAGGAGAATGTCATACCCTTAATAAATGGACTTCCTGTTTATTATTCTCAGTATTACACAATTTTGTGTGATGGTTGTTCTCCCTTGACAATTTTACCAAGGGAATTTTTGTAACCGGAGCTTTTCTGTTTTGGCCCTCAAAAAGCAGATTCATGTTTCAATGTGTCAAAAAAAGCATATCTTTATTCCATTACAGGAATACACAATAGATGTTTTCTTCCGTCAGAGATGGAAGGATGAGAGATTAAAGTTTAAGGGCCCAATGAACATTCTTCGATTGAACAACTTAATGGCCAGCAAAATCTGGACCCCAGATACATTTTTTCACAATGGGAAGAAGTCAGTGGCTCATAACATGACAATGCCAAACAAGCTTCTACGAATCCAAGATGATGGGACTCTCTTGTACACCATGAGGTGAGTCTTTTCATCTGTTCTCTACTCAAGCTATTTCTCGATGTGATTTTTCCAGATAACCATTAAATAAGGTTCCAGGAGGACTCTCCTTTGTTTCATTTCTGTCCCAGCAGAAAGCAAGCTATGAAATTGTATGTTTTTGTTTCCAGTTCTGTTACAAGTCTGTTGGCCAGTTATGAGTTAGATCAGTTTTCCTACATGTTCCTCAGTCTTCATACCTCTATAAATGTATATTAAAAGACACCGACCACCTGCATAAAGTGCTTTGAGATCTTCAGATGGGAATCACTGTGTAAGAATTATTAAGAATGCTCAAAATTTACCAACTCCATCTTAGAATGATTAAAATAGTATACGACTTTTGTCTGTTAGTGCACCCATTGTACTGACCATGTGAGCCTTTAAGCAAATTTATTATTAAGATCAGTGGCAATAAAAACTAGAGTAAGAAGAAAGGGTTAATAAGGCTTCAAATTCTTTCCAGCAAGAACTACAGGGAAAATATGTCTTACTCTGTAATAACTGTTTCTTTATATCTAATGACAATATTTTACTTAGAGTTTTAATTTTTACATCCTGTGCATGATTAGCAGCTAAGATAGACATTTAGCTGGTAAAATGTGTTAAATTTGCTTAGAAAATAATTTATGAAAAATTATAAATATCATGTATGCATAGGCATAAGCAGCATTTTTATAAGACTGATTTCTTCTTCGATTACTCTTTTTGCAGTAATGTTACCTATATGAGTTTTTTGGAAATTTTTTATCCAAATTTACAGAGACCCCTGACTTAGTTTCTTTCTTTTTCTTTGAGAGTATTTAATAAATTGAATTTGTTGTGAATGTAGACTTAAAATCCCCAGCCTAAGTAAGATATAAAATGTGAGCTGTAAAGCAAACATGTAAAGTGCAGTTTTTTCCATGCAGCCATACCAGCATCCCTTAAACCTGATTTACTATACAACACCCAAACCTTTGTAGTATTGAGTGTTGACGGGTAGACTGCTAATGATGTTGAATGAGGTGGTGGTTGGAGAGGTTCAGAAAAGTTTGCTGGAAATAAATTGAGACCCCCATTTATAGTATTTCTGCTGGGGCTCAAATCAATATTTGAACTTGTATCTGTATAAACTGACTGAAATTCTCTCCCTCCAGAAGGTGTTATAATCATATGCTATACATTATAGGAAATACTGTTTGAAACCATTATGAAGACTTTTTTTTTTAAAAACATAAGATGGGTCATGTCAGCTAGAATTAAGTAAGCGTTTTCATGACTTGTAAGTAAGTTGCTCCTGAGGGTATGAGATTAATGTGTAAACTGTTTTCATTGTCTAGATTTTAAACAGCCATTTTTATCTGTGTCTATTCAAAATGATAGTGTGATTAATATCAGAGGCTCATGCAGTTCTTTCCTTTGCCTTCAGCTGTTTGCTGACTCTTCTCTCTCTCTGCCCCTTCACTTCAGAATAACTTTCCTGGGGAGTGGGGGAATAGAAATACGGAATATTTTTGGGTGGAAAGTTGGGAGAACATAGTGGGGAATACAATGACTATGAACCACTGGGAGTACAGGAGGATGTAGCTGATGTTTGAGGCTGGATGAAGAGGAATGAAGACGTCCAGAAAAAAATCTCTACCCAGAGGAGACTTACAGGATAGGAAGGAGAAACAGAGCTTTTTTTTTATTTATTTATTTTAATTAAAAATAATGGGAAAGAAAAGTCTGTCAAAAACTTTCTTCAAACTGTTTTAAATTATTTTTTACCGTATCAATCCCCATATTTGATACTGGGACATTGCTGGGATTTTTTCACAAAATGAGCAAAAGCAAATGCATTGTTAACATACTGTCATTCTTACGCATAAATAAAAATAATAATCACAAGTAACATGGAGAATGAGTAGCAGCAATCTTTTGAAAGAACACAAATGGGGTTTTTTCTACATCTTCCATTCAAACTGTAAAAAAAAAAATAAATTCAGAAAACTATGGAGCGCAGTCCTTTGGCAAATTAACTGTATTTTATGTGCTTTTGTAATGAGCCTTTGAGAGCCATATAATCACACATGTACCTCAGAATATTATGAGAAGAAAATGACTGTTCTTAACAACCTGCAGTTACATAATTTATATTTTCATTTAAATGGCCTTTCCTCATAGTTTTGAGGTCAGCTCTTTCAGGTTTTTGATGCGATAAGTCAATGCCTTCCAAAGGAACACATAAAAGGGAAGAAGCAAGAGCTGATTTAAATTTTAATTAGTTTAATACAACATTTGAGTTTCATCTCCTAAATCAGCATGAATTCTGTTCATTTCTGTGGAATTGATTTTCTTGTCCTGCTAACTGACTTAAATGCATAGCGGTCTTTTGCCTTTTAGGCTTACAGTCCAAGCTGAATGTCCAATGCACTTGGAGGACTTCCCTATGGATGCTCACTCATGCCCACTGAAATTTGGCAGCTGTAAGTATATAACGAGGAGTACGGCCTTTGGTTAGTGAGTATCTAACATTGTTCAGCATCACTTTGTTTCAGTAAGTTGTTACATGAGAAGTTTAAAACACAAGATGGTACTTTTTGAAAAATTTGTAACGTGACACATCAAAATCTCTTTTCTCTATTCAGTGTTGTGTTTTCTAATGTATTTTAAAGCTTTCTTGACTCCAGTTAAGAATAGACACTATGCACCTAATTCAGAACTGCACTGATCTACTTTTATTCCAGCACGTAAACCATACCGATGAATGCAGGCGTGGGTGCGCGTAGCCTGTGTAGTATTAATGAAGAGCAGATTAAAGACTTCAAAGAATGTTTGTTTTGATTTATTGAAACATTAATTTTTGCTTTATTGTTAATGATATTTGTTTTTACATTCTTAGTCAATGAAGGCAACAACAAATGGCTTCTTGTGATAAAAAATTTCACTCATTAGCGCATCTGCATGTTATAGACAGGTGGACTTCGATCTCGCTAGTATTATTTTAACAGCAGCATAACTCCATTTACCTGTATTACAGCCTTTATTATTCTTTGTGAATTAGGATCACATTTTATATATAATTTATATATCCTGGATATAAAACCACCAAAAGGTTTTCTTTTTTTCTTTGGCTGTAGCCTATGTTCTCTGCTGGGCCCAGGAAAGGGAATGTTTTTTTGAGGAAACCGGTTAATACCTTTAAATTCTGGCTGATTTTACATTAATTGCAGCCACCACAAGTTACAAAACAGGTGATATGCTGCCACTAAGGACATCATTAACCAGATGAACATTGTCAGAGCACTGTGCCCGCTCTCTATAACCCTGACATATCCCTTTTCCTTTGAGTTTGGAGCAAATTAAACCAAGTCAGTGTTTCCGACAATGTTTCCACACTAAAGGGAAATCTTAGCTATGGAGATAAAAGATCATTAGAATTAATAATATTTGTATCATGCAGCCTTTTTTGCCCCCTAAATATTATAGATATAATACATAATACAGCTTAACTAAGTAACACCAGAGATGTTAGCCAAAATTGGCTACTGACTAACAATATTTACATATATGTGCACAGCAAGGTATGTTTGATTTATAAGATGTGGGAGGAAAAAAGACTCACAGGTAGCCTCAAAACAACTTAAAAAAACCCCGTAATAATGACACTGATACTCAGGCCAAGAGGCTACTTTACAGTACAACTCTTTACAGTACAACTTCATTTCCATTCCTAAGTTGGAAACCCTTTTGACTAGGTATATTAGACTTTGTGTGAACAGTTTCTTTTTCTTCTTTTTTTTTTCTCTGGATTGTTTGATTGGGTTTTTTTGGTTACTAATTTCTTCTTTGTTCTCTGCCCATGGTTTCTGGTTTTCTAGTAAACAGGAGAATTCAAACTGTGAGCAATGTGATTTTAGAAAAGCTGTCTTTCATTTCCCCCGTAGTCACCTGTGCGCCAGCCTGTTGGCACATCCAGGGGACTCTTATTTCTGTTCATTTTGAATGGCTTCACACTCATTTTATTTCTTTACCTAGAACTCACTTCTAGACTACTGTGCATTTTTCAGCTTTTATTCTGGGATAGAATTTGAATGATGAATAGTGGTGAAAATAAGCAGGAATCCTGAGGATTTTGTTTTAGCTGAAGCAAGTCTGCCAATGGTATATATTTGTCACAGCTCTTCATATGCTGCTAATCTTACATTGCTAGGAGGATCATCGGCCTGTATGAATGTCTCAGGGCTTTTTTTATACATAAGAGAAAGCCAAACTGAATGTATTGGAGAAGCTGTAGCTTAATAGATTGCCTTTCTTTATCCTCATCAAAAAGTCTAGCCAACAGTGGGGAGGATGGGGACGAATCAGCAATTGGCAATACTGCTGGTTCACATTAAAGCAGAGGTCGTCTTGTGGGAAGCTGGAAAGATAGAAGGGAAGTGTTAAAAATCTCTACATGCTACCCACCTGGTAGATTTTGTTAGTCATGCAGTTTGTGGCTAGTTGCATGAAGAAGCTTCTTTCTGGGCCTCCAGAGATTTCTCAAGTGGAAATGTTTGCAGCCCAGAAGAAATGTTGCTTTTCTTTTTCACTTCACTACAGTTATGGTATAAGACTTAAAATGTACTTGTCTCAGTCAATCAAAATGAACACACAATTTCTTCCATCAGTGGTTTACCCTTTTCCTTTCATACTCCATTTGTTAGTAGGCTATTAGGCTGGAAAAACTTGCAGGACATACATACTCAATTTTTTTCTTACTTACTGGAGAGGCATTAATGCTATTTAAAATACAGTGTTGATTTGCTTTCATTCTAGTTTATTTTGACAGACCCTAGGCTAAATGTATGTTTGATCATGAATGCACTGAGGGAGCAGCCTGCTTAATGTCAGTGTGTTCCACAAAAAGATGCCAAGGACTAAAATTTAAGAGGGTATGCAGGGCAAGGCACAGAACCACTACAAGTTTGTTCAGGGCTTTGTCACTGAACCTGGCTTCCAATATTTAGGTATGTATTTCAGCTAATAATAAAATGCTTGTGATACACTCCCAAAGTGGAGAGTGGGGACAATGGAAAGTCAGAACAATGTAGGAATGAATTTTCAAAAATGTTGTGTGTCTTAAATCTTGCAAATTGTTATTCTTTTCATCTGGCTTACCACGATTTTTAGGATACATATAATATCTAATCTCTGACAAGTTTTTTAACAGTGTAGAAGAGATGTTGTTTGTAATTTAATAGCAATAAATTGTGGTTAATAAGATTCACAAATGAGTGCCCTGTTCCCATGCTGCAATAGTCATTTACCCTACAGTAAAGCTATTTTAAATGGCCAATGGTATCTTTTACCATATCATTTTAAGTTTTTGGGGTGTGGTTTTTTTTGAAAAATAAGTAGCTCTTCTAATTCTGTGAGTTTTGATGGAAGCCGTTTGATTTAAATTGCTGACAAAATATTTTATCTTATTTCCCACAGATGCATACACCACTTCAGAAGTGACATACATTTGGACTTATAATGCTTCAGATTCAGTGCAGGTGGCACCAGATGGTTCAAGATTGAATCAGTATGATCTTTTAGGCCAAACAATTGGGAAAGAGACAGTTAAATCAAGTACAGGTTAGTAAAAGATATTTGGAAGAAAAAGGCACTCACTCGGCTATGAAGAACATAGGCATTGCTGGTGGTGTTAGAAGGCTACTGAAAAAAACTGTTGCAAAATGTGAGATAGTAGGCATAGCCTATTAATACGTGGTACAAGTAACACATAGCAGCACTTTACTGATTCTTTCAAGTTAATAAGTAACTGGTGATAGCAGAGATGAACTTGTCCCCAGTGGCTGTTTTTTAATGCTATCTGGAGCTCAGTCTTGAATCCTAATGTTTGTAACCCAAGACCGGGATAATTGTTTAATTTCATATGGTAAATGACACTTTTTGTCTACTAAATGGTGAAGCATGCAGGTTTCAACCATTTTTTCCTTCCATCGTGTTTTTGGCATTAAACGCTGGATTATTCTACCAGACTCTAGACTGTTCCTACATGTGCCAGGCTGTGATGGACCCCCATGATTGCCTTCTGACTGTAGATTAAGTTCGCAGGATGCCTTTGTGTGAATGCAGAGAGTTGCTTATGTGCAGAAGCCTGCAGGACTGAAGTTCTTGTCAGGGCATACAAGAATTCCTGTAAGTTCCTGGAGACTGATCTTTCCTGGAGCTCAGCTGTAGCTGTACTCAAAAACTTTCTTATATTCTGTAGGATGCTTTCTACTACAAAATACATTGTGTGCAATTTAACCCTAGCAGATTTGGTTCTCATAAATGTACCAAACTTTCTTTTACCAAAGAAATGGACTTTCTTAAGATGATAACTGTTTATTTCATTGTATTTTGTTTGTTTTTGGCACCTAGGCGAATATACAGTAATGACGGCTCATTTTCACTTGAAGAGAAAAATTGGTTATTTTGTCATTCAGACTTACCTCCCCTGTATCATGACTGTCATTCTCTCTCAAGTGTCATTCTGGCTGAACAGAGAATCGGTACCTGCCAGGACAGTCTTTGGTGAGTATACTGAGTAGCATTAGCTTTGTTTGCAACAGCAGAAGCTGTTAGGAAGCATTTCTGAAGTTTGCTTGGTAAAGGCCTTTTTCATTCAAGTTATTGTGTTTGTAGAATGTGGTACTATTTCCTGTCCAAACAGCTTTCAACTGCAGCTTACAGATATCCTGAGAATCCCAAAGTTTTTGGAAATTAGCACATATGAGAGAACTGTCCATATATCCTTGACTCTGTTAAGAGGAAAAAGTTTTCACAGAATGGAAAAAGATGATAATGTTTCTATTTAAAAAGTAAATGTAGATTATTTTCTGAAATATCTTACCTTGATATTATCCAAATATTTTGGTACTTGGTAGATAAGCACATTTCTAAATATATTTTTAAATTAAGCAAATTAATTTTGAATTTGTTGAATTATTTGAATGTGTTAAACTTTGCAAGCTGTAGTTCTTTAAAAGAAACGCTATTCTGGGGGTCTGGGCAAAGCTTGCTCACTAATTCAAATTGGAGTGTACTATAAGGCAGCGAACAGCTTCAGCAGCGCAAAATAATGGTCTTTCTCTTACAATAAGGTTTTGCTCTCTTCTTTATTAAAACAAAGTAACAGATGTCTTTCTTATTTGCATAACTTAAAGTTCTTTTAATTTGTTTGCTTTTAAAGAAAAAGAGACTAGCACAACAAAAAGAAAATAATGTCTGCGTGGAATCAGCCATCAGAAATGCTGCATAAAATCGTATGATTAGTCATCAGTAAACACCATGCACTCTTCAAAAAATAGGCCAAACTCAAATGCATATTAAGTATGATGCACAACAAAGCATTTACTGTCTCTCCTGGTAGAAAAAATGCCACACAAAGCATCGTGAAAATTGCAGGTTTGAATATGAGCCTTACTGAAGTCAGATGAAATGGGTCAGTGGTTTTAGTGGAACCAGAATTCTACCATGTTTTCCCAGGCAGTTATCAGGCAGATTTTTTTTTTCTTTCTTCAAAATCTTCTGTGAATTTGTCCATTTCTGCTTATCAAAATGCACATTCCTGTTTTCCAGCCTTGCAAGTACACTGTCAAATCCTTCTATATCTCTGTCTTTTCCCTTTTCTGTACACCCTCGTATACATTTAGGACCGTGTAACTGGTTTGTCCAAAAAAAGTCTCACATCTTCTCTTCCTCAAATGCACTTTCTGTTACTGTGTCGTCGGTAACAACGCACTACATCAGTAACAAGGCACTAGGATAATTTTCCTGGAATGTTGTGTCCCTTCCTGCATACCTCTTTCTTGTTCTTGATTTATTTTATTGTTTAATTTATGTGGGTTTTTTTTTAAATAACTAATATCTGCATGGCAGCCTGCTGCTTTACTCTGCTGGGGGTTTAGCATAATATGGATAATGAACAGTGTCCTGTTTCAGGATGTCTGGAGGGAACTGGGTGGGATGGCCGCAAGTACAGAACCACACCACCCAGTGACAAAATCTAAAATCTGTTTACTGAGCACAATGGGTACATCGAGGAGATAGCAAATTCTATGCTAGTATTTTATTTCTGCCACACAGACATGCATGTCATGCACCAGTCAGGGCTCTGTCCCCTCCAGGCCAGCTTAGACTGGCGCCCTGAACCCAGGGGAACAAGACGTGTCCAGGCTCTGCCTGATGGAGCAGCCTAGCCCCTGCATATGCAGCATTTGCACCTCAGGCTTAGCCTTCTGCATTGGGTTGGATGTCCCCTGAGGAGCTATTTCTTAACATTCTTTTACACTCTAGATGAGACTGTCAGCATAAGCTGCCAATGACCCAGTGACACATGAAGCCCATACTACAGCTAAGGTAATAAAACAAGCTACTTCCAGCAGGGAATACAAAAATTGCAGGAGATTTTACTTTACATTTTTATTTGTTTTTATATGGAGTCGTCACTTGCTAGATATCCATCTTTGCATTGTATAATAAATATATCAGTATTAAAATATGATTAAGTAGAAAGTATTCGTTTTGATAAAATATTTTTCAGAATCAATGAGAAATTTATTTCAAGTACCTTCTTGAGAGTTACCAAGTCCTGGAAAGGACTAACTACTGGAGTACTGTTCCTTTCAAAGAAACATAACTCCCAGTTATTGAAAGCACCACTTAGCATTTATTATTTCATGTTTGAAAGAAGTTACTTTACTTTCCCCTTTCTATTCTCTCGCAACGTAGTTTCAAGTTCTAGGTTAATGTTAAGGGCTTGGTATAATGAGGCTTCTTTTATAGTTGAGCTCTTTAATCCCTTTCCTTTATGGCATCTATTTAATACTGTTGACCTAAGCTATCCCAAATGAATTATGGCCTAATGTTATATTGTTTCAGCTTTGCTTTAAATTATTGAAAGAAGAAAGTTTTATCATCGTTAATTAAATAAGTCTTGAATGTGTTTTCTCTAGCAGATAAATTTGAAAAGCTTTTGATTGCATTTTTAGCGAAAGGGAATAAGCCTGATTCATAATGCCTTCATTTAGTGCAAGATTACAATCTGTTTCATTTAGTAATGTGTTTATTGTTACGCATTTAGTGTCAACAATATTAGCAAAACTAATCTTGTGCAGCTTATTGAATTCTTGCTTCATTTTTAATGGGTCATAACATCTAGAAGCATCACATATATTTGAATAGCAGCATTAGATGCAGGTGACAGAAAAATCAGAAATTAGTTTTCTTAGTGCTATAGTTATCTATGTGTTTTAACTCACATGCAGTAGGAAAAAGAATGTTAAAATGAATGTAGTTAGATATATATTCTTTGCTACCCGAAGCAGGCAAGAACAAAAATTAATAGTCATATTATTTTCTAGTACGTTGTCCAAGATGCAGAATTTTAAATTCACACAGCTATCTTCTTTTGTCAGGACTCTGTTCTCTGTGATCATTTTATTCTTATGCTGCATTCCTATCCCTGTGTTTTGCTTGTTCTTGGTTTATCTTTTCTGAACCTATATTAATCAATGTACATTTTGAAGCAAAAAGACATTTAGACCTGAAATAGACAGACTTTTTAGTTGTGCAACTACAGAAAGGGGAACCTAAGAAAAGTTCAGATTTGTTCTCTGGTTATTTTTACATGGGAATTGAATAACGTAGACCCTTCCTTTTGAACAATTCTGTATATACAAAGTACCTTTTCCCATTTTGTTGAAAAAAATCTCAACTGTCTTTATTTACTTCTCCTTTCACATGCTGCAGATTATCTTTTGCGCTCTTAGAGATATCCCACCACTCACAGCTTTCAGTCTATAATTTCTTAATTGGGAATTTCTGCTAACTGTAGACATAACACTCTAGTGGTAGGCAGCGGGCAAATGTACCTGGAAAACTGTAGCCCTTAGAGACTGAGCTGGCTGCAAATGAGCTAATATGTCTTCTCAGCTCAGTGGTGTGCCAAGACATTAGCTCATGTTCCAGTAGTGGCATAATGACATGCGACTTTTACTGGAGCTGGGGTAAATAGCAGTTGCCGTTCAGCTTTGGGAATTAGCTTGGCTGTCGATCGATGGGGAACTCTGTTCCATTGCTCAGTATTGGTACAGTGAAGCAATGTAAGCACTGACTTCACGACATGTATATGTACCTTAACCAACTGATTGAATGCAACTTTTCTGGAAGTAGATTACGTTATGGTCCTTGGCCTACCATGCTATTTAAAACGGCTTCTGGCCCTTTGTGTTGCTCTTTTAGAAAAAAAGGTAGACCGAGCACTTGAGCTATTTTCTACAGTCTTTCTCTCAATGGTTGTTCAGACTTATCTCCCGATGTCTAAGCAGAATCAGTGTACACCCCTTTTGTATTGTATTTTCAAGTAATACATATACATTGCATAAGTAAAAAAGAAACAGTATGGTGTGTAGCCAAATGTTATGGTATAATACTTTAAAATTACACTATCTCCAGAATTTTTAAGCTTATGTTTAGACCTCCAACCATTTACTCTTGGAGTGATAAAATGAAGTAGTAATCTGTATCTCTGTAAAAGGGGCAACAGTCTTTTCCTTCTGCTATGTTATTTGTATTTATAAATCTATTCAGGTTTTGGACCAGGTTGAGTGATCTAATTATCTAACAACATTTGCAATTACTGTTAAGAAAAAAAGAAAGAGTGAAATAATAGAGCAATGGAATTAGCTTCCTAATAATAAAAAAAGTAATTTATCAATCCTTTTGTGATATGTTCTTCAACCATTATGTGTATCTTTGCAAAATGCTGTGATGAAAAGGTAAAATTGTAGGAGGAGTAGCACAACATTGTAAGAAATGGAACACATTTTAAGTATTTTGTACAAATCATTTGCAAAACTGAAGTACCTCTTTTGTTACAGAAACGTCCTTTGGTAACTCATTATTTAGGCATTTTACTTTAATTTTCAAAGGAGATGTCCACATTCTAAGACGAGAAGGCTAGGACATGATTTAGTTGGCTAAAATCTGTTCAAATTAGAAAAATCAGTTGATACACAAGAGGTGAAATTAGGGTCCAAAAGAACTTGTCCCTGTCAAGGAGTAGCCTGACTTTTGCACACAAATGTAGGCGTAAACTAGTCATCATGACAGATTTTAACTTTAATATTTATGTGCTAGCTCCTCCAATTTCCACTGTATGTTTTTAGTTACGCATTTCTAGTTTTTCAGTTTACCTCTTCCGCTGTTGCGTGGCAGTGCCCTAAACCGTTGAGTGACAAATTGTTTGCCCAAAGGTGGCTGTCTAACTTTAAACACATCTTGAATGGTATCTATCTGTCCTAGAATCCAAAATATGACAGAGCTGGTATTTTCCACATATATAAGCTTAGTACCAGTGAAAAGTGTTGAATTTACAGCCCTGGAGATGGATATCCTCTCTCCAGTGAGCAGATGCTATTTCAAAAGCGGCACCATAAAAAAACCTCCTAGGCAATCACATAGCTCCAGTCTTGGCCTGAATGGATAAACCTGTAGTGATAGAAGATATTTAGCTTTTATAGGCATGTGCTGCTGAGAACAAAAGCTGTAATGATGTTGGGGGATATTTACTGTCAAGTATAAAATGCTTGGTCTTCTTCAGAGAAGGGAACGTCAACGATTTATTTTAAAGACAAACTGATGACTGCTTGTGGTCTCTTACAAGTTGATACCTGTCCATGTCCTTCTGGCACCTGTTGAGTGCCACATCTGCTGGGTGCTGGCCTATAGAAGATAGTTCTTGACCTGTATATAAACTGTGGTCTTTCTACATCAAAGTGAGATATCATGCAGTCTTTACATAACCTGTTAAGTTATTTAGGCTGTTCAGAGTAGTATATGTTTTAGGGGAGAAGATTGTTTTCTTCTAATATTTTGATGACCTCATTGTAGGGGAACAATCTACTCACTGTTTTTAATACCAATTCTAGTTCACTAGTGTTATGAATTAGATAATGCAATGAGGAATGTTTTTGATCTTGTCAGTGTATGGGTTTTGTGGGGTTTTAAGTTAAATCTTTGTGAAATAAGTGTTTTGTTTTACAAGTTGACCATATTCCTCCACATTAATAATTCTTCAGTCCTCTCAGGTTTAGCAGTGACACGGAGGTGGGTTATTTCCATTCAGTCCTTTTTCGTAAAGAAGACCTGATAACAGTGATTTTTCAAATGAACTATAATGTGCAAAATCATTTGTCTTTTGACTGAAGAAGAATAGCAAGTAAAAAAATATTAGAGATTCCTAAACTGACAGGTATCACATTAAATTTTCTGTCCAATTTTTTCCCACTCAATTGAGGTTAAATGAGTATGGTAGCTTGAACATCACTGAATTTATAGAGTGAAGGAATAAATGAGAGTGCATTGGCAATTGTCTGACAATGTGCTGTTTGATTAGCATTTGGGTCACAAAGTGGTATGGCTTGCTGAACTTTTTAGAGAAATTGTCAACTTGTAGCAAGATACAAGATGTAAATTCACGATGTTTTAATTGAGACTAGAAAAGGTCAGCAGTTAATCTTAAATTAGATTTTTGAAGAAGCCAACGGGACATCCAGAAGATTAGTTTATTCTAAAAGGTAGGACTTAAACAGAACAGTACCTTAGCAACTGTATATATTTACATGTGGATAAGGTCACCTTAACTCTGAGAAACAATCACTTTACTGATACTTCTCTATAATTAAAATGATTTATCTGCAGCTCAGGACTGGTGTTAATATTTAAAATTATCACATGCAAATGTGAGATAGACTGCCTTTTCCCTGAGGTGCTGAAAATAATGAAGCCATATGTTGTGTAAGTGTTAGGAGAGATTAAGTTCTTTACAAACTATATTGTCTACACATTCTCATACAATACAGTATGATAGCTGCTTCCTTTTCATTGTATAGGCTAGTAGATCCCAACAGTGTCACGGCCGATTCCAGACCAAATCTACTTCTTTAATTTATGGAGGCTGAAAAATAGCAATTAGAGAATTATGTTTGCTAAGGTGTCTGGATACTGTGTGACTCAGTGGGATGTTTCTGTGCCTTGTTTTCCCTGCTGCACAGGCCTTTGGAAGCCAAAAGGCTTCCAAAAGTACTCTCCTGCTCATCAAGGGAGAGTAGCGCTGAGGCTGAGTCCACTTAGCTTTGCTTTGTCGTCCTTTGTAGCACCCTCAGAGATGGAGATTCTTTACAGGAGGGATGGAAATTGCAAAGCCTGAAGAGGTCTGAGTAGGTGTAATTGCTGCCTCTCTTCCCTCTCACACAGTGGTTAAAAATGCTTCTCTTGTAGCAGAAGGAAAATTTGAGCTAGGTCGATCCTGCAGAACCCAGGTGACAGATTGCTGACAGTAGAGGATCTGGCTTAGGGAGAGTGACTTTACTTTCTCTTGGGAATCCTCTTACAACAATTTTATGAGTGTGTAGTTGTTGAAGCTGTGATGCGCTGTTACTAATATTTCTGTCATGGCATCTCCTTTGCCTGTCATAATGGAGTGTAGGTTTGTTTATCTGTGCTAAGTATATCACTTTGCGTTGCTGTTCATTCTGGAGACGTATTTAATGGCGTGCCACAAAGGGAATAGTTCAGTTTGTCTAAGTGTGATTCAGCCCGAGGTGGGAGAACTCATTTACTTAAGGAATGGAGACTGTGTTTGTGGCTGTGGGTTTCTGCTTGCTAAAACTGATTCAGAAAAATGTTCTCTTCCTTTCCTCCCATGTATCTTTTTTCTGATTTTTTTGAGTATAATTCCTGGCTTCCTACTGGGTCTTCATTATGTACAAAGTACTGTAAAGTGCTTTTAATAACTGCCACGGTGAAAGAACAATCTTCCTGGATCATCAAGACTTGTTTTCTGACACATAATACACAGTTATAATAATCTGGCATTTCAAATTAATATGTTGTTCTAGAAAAAAATCTGTGTTACCTGAATGAAGACTTAACCTGTTTATGTGTTCAACTATGTCATTGGATGGTTAGTGAGACAGCTATTGGGGAAAAAATAAAATCATTATTTCTAATAGCAAAGGTCAATTTGTGTGGTACTGTCAGTAAAGATGGTGCCAAACCTGCAGCCACTGCAGTGAAGCCAGCCACCAAACATTAACGTATTAATCATTATTACTGTAATGCTGCAAAATATTATGATTCCATTAAGGAATTGTTAATTTTGTCCCTTACCTGTCCCGATAGCTAAAAAAAAAAAAAATTATCTCTCTCCTGTAAGTAAAATCTTCAGCTGATTATATAAAAGGGAAGTTTAGACAACAAAATTGAACTAAAATACTTCAAAGGAAACTCCAGGTGCAACCTTTAATATGGTTCTGGCAGTTTGTCACCAACTTAGATAAGCAAATTTTCCGTTCTATTTCACAAACATACCATAATAATTTTTGGTTTGTATTTTTGTTAACATTCAAAATCCAAGTAAAATCGTTGATGCTGTGGTTTTTTGTCCCCTTGCAGGAGTAACAACTGTGTTGACAATGACAACACTGAGCATCAGTGCTCGAAATTCACTCCCCAAAGTAGCATATGCAACAGCTATGGATTGGTTTATTGCTGTTTGTTATGCGTTTGTATTCTCTGCATTAATTGAATTTGCAACTGTAAATTATTTCACGAAACGAGGATGGGCCTGGGATGGAAAAAGTGTAGTGAATGATAAGGTAAGTCCTAAGGAAATAGCCCTATTTCTGGTCAGTTGCACTAAAACAGCTGTAATATATTGTTTTGATAAAATTGGCTATATAAAAAAAAATACATGATGCTTTAATTCAAAAGAATGTAGATGTATTTTCTGTCCTGAACAAAAATATATTCGCCCTGATGTAGCTAATCTATTTTAGTCTCAATAATCCAGATTGAGTTATCAAGCACATTGTTTTTTTATGTTGGGAACTGTCTGACTTGTTTCTTGACTCCTTAGATACAACTGTTTATCTGGTTACTCAGAAAAATTAATCCAGATTATATTGGTTGATCACTTTTTTATTATTTAATCCAATTGAGTTGGAAATAAGAAAAAGATTACAGAAAGATAGAATGTATGTTAATTTTCCTGGTAACTAAGGATCAGAAAAACAACTGAATGCCCATATATGTAAAAACTATTAATAACAAAATCTAGAAGTTTTGAACATTTTCAGTATTCTGAAACTTACGCTTAATGATATGTAGACATTAATTTTTAATCTAATTTAAATAGCAGTGGTACAAAATTCCAAGCATTTTTCACCTATGATGTATTGATGCTCTGAGTGCGCAGAAACAGAGTCATGCCTTAATTTTCTGGTATTGATAGTAGTGTAGGTGTGATAGTATGAAGAAATTTCAACCTGGTAGAATTTCTTATTTCGTGAACAGAATGAACTGGTGATATGTCTAAATTTGTGTCAAGCTTTACAGTTTATAATTTTAATAACACAGAACAAATGTTAAGGCTGACTTGTTGTTTTGACTGACTTAATATATTATATAATTTTGTCCTATCCCAGTCCCTGATTCTACCAATGGAAAAGGATTTCTTCTGACAAAGCATACTCTGATTTCTGTGGTTCTCCTTAAAATAGGATAGGATATGATTTGCTTCCTAGATGATGATAATAGACGTGAAGCAAAGTTTAATTAACTGATCGTTTCTCAGCACTTTGAATGCATAAAGCACAATGCATAAAGAAGCAAAATGTTCAGTTAATGGTAAAGGAGAAATAGAGGAAATGAGTACATTGTTTATAATTCCCTGTGGCTTCCGGAAGGGCATGAACTATCCATAGCTTCAGGACCTGTTCCCTCATGCTAGAAGTAGATACTGAATCACTACAAGTTTATCAGCATGTCACGAGTGAAGCTTTTCAGACTGGCACATTGCCCTGGCATTGTAATAATGTAGGGAGCCCTTACAAACTCTCCGATCATCCTTTGGCTGTTCCTTTAAATTAATATAACAGTGTTGTCTCATGATCTTAGCAGTGGCAGCTGTTTAACAGCTAGGTAGTATTCCTTCCCTAGGAATGACAAAATTAGCCATTCCATTTTTAGATTTATATACCATTCACATGTCCAGTTCTCTATTTTCTTCAAACTGACTTAACAAAAAGCTAAACTTTTAACATATTCATAGTTTCTCCTACAAAAGTATGGTTCATCTTTATTATGCAGGTCTCATTAATGGTATTATGGATATCTTTTAAAAACACACTAAGTGTGTCTGAAAGGAAGGAATTATAGATCAGTTAGAGTGTTCCTCTTGTAATTTGATTTGGTAATTTGCATCTGTGCACCTAAAGCCGGGCTTACTCTTCACCAAATAAAGTGAAATATGTTTCCTCAGTGACAGCCATCTGTGTTCACGTTATATGGAAATTCCCATCTAAGTGCTGTCAACATGGAATTTGTCTCACAGGAAAGCAGGTGCAGGGACAAGCTACATATTTGATCAGCCTTTTTTCATGCTTCAGTCAATAAGGAACAATGCTGAATTCCCACCCGATCCCAGATTTTCTTTTTGTGTGACACCATCTCCTGAGACAAGGTATTTGGGGCACAACATCTAACCGTGAAGATCTTACTAAGATTTGTAGATGGCCCTGATAAATATCTAATTGGAGCTAATTTAAAACCAAAATTGGAAATTGGGTAGATGCCTCCCGGTGGAAGTAAAAAATTGGAATGCACCTGTATGAGAAATGTCACAAGAATTCTCTCACTTGTGCCACTTCCATTAGATTAAAAATCAAACCAAACTAATACAACAGCTGATGATTTCTTATATGAGCCAGAAGTTAACTATTTCTTCATCTGTTTAATTCTGTATTTTGTGGAAGAGATGAACTGAATCTAATATTTATTTGCCTGCTTCTAAATTATATATGGAGAGCCTTGCTTCCTAAGAAACCAAAATCCTTCCATTCTTTCCTGTAGGTTCTTAGAAGTTCCTTAGTTTGGGATTGCTGCAAAACAGTGAATCAATTTATAGCATTACAGTCTTATTGCAGAGCTAGTCTGTGTACCTATATATATGTCTTAAAAATGCAAGCCTATACTCATTACCTATACATCCCTCTATGTGTCTATAGACATAGCCTCTTCACTGGAGTGCCATTGGCTAAACTTTAGCCATTTGAAAGCGTACACAACCCTGTAAAAACACAGAATTTCTGAGGTTGGAAGGGACCTCTTGAGATCGTTGAATGTAACTCCCCTACTCCAAGCAGGGTCAGCTAGGTACGGTTGCTCAGGGTCATGGCCAGATGGTTTTTTAATATCTCCAAGGATGGAGACTCCACAACCTCTCTGGGCAACCTGTTCCAGTGCTCAGTCGTGCTTACAGTAAAACTGTTTTTTTTGTACGTTTAAGTGGAATATTCTGTATTTTGGTTTGTGCCCATTGCCTCTTGTTCTTCCACTGGATATCACTGAGAAGAGTCTGGTCTGGTCTTCTTTACTCTCTCCCACCAGATATTGATATACATTGATAAGATTCCCTGCTGAGCCTTCTCTTCTCCAGGCTGAACAGTCCCAGCTCTCTCAGCCTTTCATATTTCAGATACTTCGGGCCTTAAATCATCTTTGTTGTCCTTTGCTGGACTCGCTCCATTACGTCCATGTCTCTCTTGAGCTGGGGAGCCCAGAACTGGGTCCAGCACTCCGGATCTGTCTCACCAGGGCTGAGTTGAGGGGAACGATCACCTCCCTTGCCCTGCTGGTAATGCTCTTTGTGATGCAGCCCAGGAGGCTGTTGGCCTTCATTGCTGTGAGGGCACATTGCTGGCTTGTGTTCAACTTGGTGTCCACCAGGACCCCCTGGGCTTTTTCTGCAAAGCTGCTTTCCAGCCCATTAGCCCCAATCTGTACTGGTGGATGGGGTTATTCCTCCCCAGGTAGAGGACTTAAATTTCCCTTTGCTGAACTTCATTAAATTCTTGTTATTCCATCCCACTTTTTCTTATCTTCTGTTATATTTTAGGTTCTAATCCCCATTTTCATCACTGTTATGCATTTTTAAACAATAATTTCTGAAAAACAGAAATAGTTCTTGGGCTAGTTCTCGGCTCACTTCTGCAACTACCAGGCTGGAGTCCTTCTTTCTCTTAATTGCAGTCTCTTTCTGACCTCTGTATGTGTGTGTCTATGTATATATACATGTAAACACACACATATTTCTCCAGAATCTCTTAAAAATGTAGACCATTACTGAAATTCCTTTATTTATTGGTGGTATGTTATGAGATGTTCAAATAATAGTGATGCTAGATTTATGGGAAAGATGGCCTAATTTTCATTTTATTACAATGCCGGGTAATCTTTTTTTTTCCCAGTACACCCATTCACTCCTTCTAGTTCTCTTAACAGAGAACATTTTAAAGATCTTGCAATTCTGTTGTAAGGAGTCAGATACAAAGCAGCTAGAGAAAGACCAACTCATTCCCAGTTATCCTTGCAATCGCAGTAACAGACCCTTCCTCATGTAACTTCAGTAGGGCATTTGATGGTGCAAGAGTCCATGTTTTTAGAGCATTCTTATGTTACTTGTACCTTCTTTTTGGATAGACTGGAAGTGTCATTCTTTATATTTGAATTTATCGGTGTGGTATTCCTGGTATTTAATTTTAACGTACTCACACATACTCATTTGTTTCTTTTACATTTGAAATGATGTTTTATTAAGTCTATTCTGGCAAATACACATTAAATATTTAACTTCATGCTGTCTTCCAATAGAAAAAAGAAAAAGCGTCTGTCATTAAGAAAAACAATGCCTATGCAGTGGCTGTTGCCAACTATGCTCCAAATATTACCAAGGACTCAGTGCTACCAACCATCTCCAAGAGCGCTACAACTGCAGAACCCAACAAGGCAAAACCAGAAGCGAAGCCACAGGAAGCAAAGAAGACATTCAACAGTGTTAGCAAAATTGACAGAATGTCTAGAATAGTGTTTCCAGTCTTATTTGGTACTTTTAATTTAGTGTATTGGGCTACATATTTAAACAGGGAGCCTGTCTTACTTGGCTTTGCGCCATCAACCTAAAAGCTGAATTGCACTGAGGACTTAAAGCATCATTCTAATCAGATAGGTTGTTTGCTATGTACAGTACGACTAATAACTGCTAATCTGTGAACCATTATGTACAGAGTGTATATAGATGTCTTATCTGTGTATCTCCAAAGGAGGGACACAGTGTTAATTCATGGGTCTGTAAACAGATAGCACCCATGGCAAATATAGCCAGCTCTTTAAAAGTTATACCCAGGGGAGTTCTGTTAAACTAGGATTCAAATATACAGAATTATATTCTCTCCGTACAATGAAATGAAGATATGATCCTACATAATTATTTAGGAACAGTATTTTTTTAATTTAAAGTTAAAATATTTTTCTATAAAGTAACTAATTCTACTTTAATGACAGAAACTGTCATTTAAAAAAGTGATTTTTTTAAAAAGGTGTAATTGTTTCATACAATAGCAGTACCCATGTACATAACGGAGTACGGAGGTCGTACAGTTCTACTGTTCACAAACATTCTGGATACTAGGTAGGCTAAAGAGGTAGTAAAGACTACTATATGGCAAAAGCCACAAGTTTCTTACTGCTGTCCTGTTTGAAGTTGTTAATAAACTCTTCTAATTGATTTCAGGGAAAAGCAAGTGTTAATCAAATTTCCAAATCAACCAACTTCCGCTAGTGAAACTTAGTCTTTCCACTGTTTTATTTATTTGATGTTGCTAAGCCAGGTTGTCTGGTTCAGCAAAGTTGGATTTTTTTGCTTTTTGATTTTGTTCTTAATTGGATTATTGTCAGGTTCATAAAAGCACTCAGAAATTTTTCAGGTTTAAGTATATCAGTAATATAATACACTCTTTTTCCTTGCTTAATGTTATCCTAAAACCTGCCATTAAAATATTTACCTGTATTTGTCCCAGAAAGCATTGTTTTCAAGGGAAACAAGAACCATGATTTAAGTTCAGGAAATTGTCCATATAATAAAATTTACTGCTGCTTTTGTAAATTGCAACTTTACATTTCGCTGACATAACTTTACAACAACTTTGTATACTAGAAATGGTTTTGCTAAGATTTGAATGTTATTTTTTTAATAAAAGGTCATGCATCATCAGTAGGTATCAACTGTATTTCATATACACGAATATAACAAAATTGGAGCTGCCATTTGCAATTTTATATGAACATTTAATACTGATCAGTAAAATTGTTTTTCATCTGAGCCTTTGCAAGGATTCTTTATGCCCCTAAAGGCCTGGTAAATCATGACATAAGTAATAATTGTGTACTGTATTTAGATTTTAGTATACTTGGCCAATCAAAAATACTTTGATTCACACATACATTAGCAGTTATTAGTTGACCTTTAAAAAAAGATACACCTTTATGATGATGTCTTCTAGTAGAGACATATGTAGTCGTATAGTGTCATTTATTGCAGTTTTGTACAGTACTTGAGTATAGTGCATAAAATAGATATGTTCAGAGTTTAACAAAGTTGTACAAATATTTCTAAAATCAAATAAAAGAGTATCTTAAGACATGGAAATGTGCTAAAAACAACAAAGAGAAACACTGCTTTCATTTGCTGTTTTATTTTCTTGCTTTTTCTTTGCTTTTAATGTGATTCTGTTTTGTACTTTGTGTGACAGTATAGATGCCAAGGTCACAAATGCATATTATGAATAGAATTAATAGTTAAGACAGAGTTGACATCAGTAAAATAAAGACATTTTGTAAGTTATAAATGAAAGGGAGAAGCATGGACAAGGTGTGTATCCCTTGAAGTCCCTCTAATTAAGCCATCAGATTAAACCTTTCACATCAACAGTGGTTAAAAAATGAGCACTTTACTCAGAACGTTAAAATAAAAGTATCCTTATTTTCATATATATTTATATATAAATGTAGATCTTCCATGTAACATGGAGATGTGTGCAATAGTGTGATTATGAGCATAAGGCTGGAAGGCAAGCAATAAAAAAAAGGTTTTTTCATGGTATAATTATACATTTTTAAAATGTTTCATTTGTAAACTATAAATTATCCCTTTAACGTCACATTGTCCAGGTATGAATAAATATATAAATATGTACATATGTACAAATAATTGTAAATATTAGAACTGTAGAAAAATCCCGTCACTTTTAACTCTAGTTGGCAAAGGGCTCTGACTGTATAGTTTAATGGAGGCCTATGCTAAACTGCTCTTGAACTTGAGTAGCTCGATTATGTTTTCTGTAGCTGAGGTCTCCTTCCTGTGACCTAGTGGGAGTTCTTACCTTCTGTTCACATCAGCAAGATCCAGGGACTCTCTGAACCTCACTGGACTGGGGTATGAGAAATAGAGGTTTGTGTTCCACCCTTGGCCACGTCCCAGGTGCTCCAAACCCTTCACAGTGTTTAAACAATGTTGTGTATTGCTCCATGCACGACACTGTATAGTCAGAACTCTTCCCCACTACAAACATGAGTGTGCTCAGAGGCATGTTGGATTACCTGGTAGGGAAGGATTTTTCATCCTTATCCAAGAATGGGACGACTCAAAAGGTTTTTGACAGTACAAGTCTTCTCCAGCAAGACTTCTTCTCTGGAAGATAACATCTGTGTAATTCAGAGCTGCATGCAAAAAGCATCTTCAGTTTGCACAAGAAGCCTGATGCTGTCTCATGTTAGTCAGCTCTGCTGCTACTGCTTTTATTGGGTACAATTATTTTTTCATTCACTGACTGTTTTCTCTACGCTTGTGTTATGCTTTGTCAGGCAAAAAAACAGGTGTTTATCACATGCTAAAGATACATTTATTGCACACTAATATAGAAAATAGGCATACTATATAAATTCACTCAGTGAAAAATAATACATTTTAAATATCCACATGCAGTTATTGTGGGCATCAGCAAGGCTTTTGAGTGCGTACACTCCAGAAAAGTTTCATTTTTACATTTAGTTCAGTTGGTCCGTGTTAACGCAAACTCCTTCTGTTGGAGGAAGGAGTCTGCTTTATTGTTTCACTACTGAAGCGTTTATAGTGAGTAAACTGACTACACATAAGTTGCAAATTTGTAAGACTAACAACTGGATAAGTGAATTTGAATGTAAAGATTTAAGTGAATGCAAGCATCATGCAAGGAACACTGGAATAGAAGAGTTAGGCCTTCTTTCCGTTTAGCAGTATAGAATCTGTGTCTGGGATTTTAAAGCTGGTCTCACAAATTTATGTGCCAAATACCTAGAAGTTTCATTTAATTTGAGTAAAACTTGCTGGTCTTAAAGCAGGGGGAGAGAGCATGAGTGAGCAAACGCAAGTCACTTCGCTATCAAAGACTTGCACATGGAATCTACCAGTGAAATTTTTGGTTGACATGTTAATCTAATTTATTTTTTCCATTATTCTTGGGTCAGGGTGTCACATTTCACGTGACTTAAGAAACGAATACAATAAATACAATGATGTAACACTGTGGTAAACTTGGATTGGAATTACCATAATTCTGAACGAGGTTTATGAAGTAGGTTTCCAATGTAGTACTGGGGCACGTACTTCTGGATGCATGTGGTCAGTAATTTAACAGTAATTTATAAATCAGCAGGAAAAATATAGAGATCAGCAGGGTTTATCAGCCAGGGTTGTCTGCTGGAGGCTTCTTAACAAATTGCTTTTAAAAGAGTAGCTTCCAAACGTCTCAATTATGTTGTAGCCAATGAAATTACCTTCACATTCCATATCTGGGTTAATTCAACTTGTAACTGCTGCATTGTTGAGCATCTTTAAAAAAAAATTATTATGGTAGATTTTCTGAGATACGAACTTTAGGTTGGGAGACTACTCATACCACTGAACATTATACTAAATTAAGGAGCTAGTCTGCCTGTAGAGTCACAGGAGAGAGCATGAAAGAACTTCACGAGACACCAAACAGCCTTACTGAATCACCTTCCCCTCCCAGTGATTATAGATAACATATGGGGTGGTGAGACCTTTCAAAAGTGGGGTGATCATAAACTGTCTGCAGGAAAGCAACCAGAAACAGCTGGGAGGATGTGGGGATGTATGGGGGAGGAAAGGGGGAAAGAGAAGCAGCAAATGGCTTTGTTACTGTGTCAGCGGATTGTGAGATGATTGAGGAAGAAGCCATTGAGGGAGGTAATGTGTATTTTTGTTTCAGCTTCAGTTCTGACCCCTCATTACCATATGTGAGTTGTGGGAAAGCAACTTTTAGAGCATGTGAAATTGAAATACTTCTTGTATAATTCTGCTGAACTTGAGGAACATGAGTTGTGCCTTTGAAACTGAGAGGCTTCTGCTGACTGCTTTGTGAAAACCATGCAATGTTGTGTGCTTCCTGCCATATGGGACATCTAGGGTGGAGGGGGGAGAAGAAGCTTCAGGAGTTAAGTAGAACTTTGTTAATTCTAGGTTTTGTTTTCTTAAGAGGTGTGACTTTCACTTAAGCACAGATAGCATCCATCCTCCATACCTTTCATTCCTATTCTGAAAGCTTAGTGGTGCACAAATTTTTGCCTTGGCCTTTCACGAAATAGATGAAGTCTATGCTTCTGAACATTTCCATTCCTAACAAATTTGCATGAAAAGATGATTTCAGTATGGATATGAAGCTATCATCAGTCTATGCCCGATTATGTGTAGACACATAATGCTAAAATTTAGAAAGCAATGCAATGGGTTTTAAAGCAGAGGAAGAAAACATTTTAAAATGAGCCCAGAAAGTTAAATAGCTTCATTTAAAAAACACAGAGCATGATAAATGTACAGATGTCTAAACACATCTAAATAGAATCTCTGAGTGTGGTATAATTTGGTGTCATAGATAATGTTTTTGTCTTGAAGACTGAAACGTAATTAAGTGAATTTATATGAAAGTCAGCTCACGCTTCAGCCTCCAGTAAAGGGAGTGGTTCTTTAGAAAGCAGAGTTTTAGGATTCCTTCCACCTCTTCCCAGTGGCAGTGTACCTTCTGCTAGAATGCTGTCAGTTTGCAACATAACTTTAAGTTATATCC